CCCCAAAACCCCAAAACCCCAAAACCCCGTGATGCCACTAAATTGATAATCATGATTGACGATAAAATTAAAGTTTAATCAAGATTCAAAAATTAAATGCAACCTATTAAATTTAGTACCCTCTGTTTAAAGATAGGAGCATGTTCAAACCTTAGCTGGATGTAAGTGATGCTTTAAACATTTACATTTTGTGCCATCTTTAAGTTTGGTACCTGTGCCTACACATTGCTTGCAAACCATAAAATTCCCAAACTTCTTTATGCATCTTTCGCATGGTGCCCAGTAGTTTTACTTCCATTCATAGCCTTAGCCATGACATATTACACAATCAGGTGCAGATTTAATTACTGGCAGAGTTAAGGGTGGGATCATTGCAGCATTTGATACATTACTACTATACAAAGTTGAATCACTGACCAAATTTGTATCCTAGAATATTGTAAGATCAGTATTATGCTCTCTAGCACAGTACTCACAAACTCTCCAGTCCTTAACCTTATTTTGGAATTTATACCCTGTACCATAGCATTAAGAGCATTGAGGATTTGTATCTACTTTAGGGAAGTGTGTTGGGAGAGTTTTATACACTTCAGGCATGGAGCCGGAGGAGAACATTAAGGCACCTCCGAATTCTCTCTTACATTCTTGACATTCTAACCATTCGTTCTGTGTATACTGATAACCAATACCTTGGCATATCTGACAGTCATGCCTTGCTTACAATTTGGGGAGATTAGGAGGCATCCTGCAATAAACGCAATCAACTTCAGTCAAAATATGGGTTGTCTCAATATGTTACTCTGCCTTCTCTAATTATACTGGCTTTTATACTGGAGGAGGATAGTAAGCACCTTGTGGATATTAGCCCCATCCGGTAGGCAATGATTAACCCTGAAGTGGGTATGGTTAAGGCTGAATTTTTTCAGTGAGACCTGCATTCATCATTCCTTCTTCTATCACTTCTTGTCCTTTATGATGTTTCTTTTTGTGTTCAGTCATTCGTTTGCTTTCTTTAATACCAAAAGTTTTAGTTTTACTAATTTAACTTAAATTTTTAAGTAATTTATCAACTTAATAGATCTATAATTGAACCTAAAATTATATTAAAAAACCAACTTAAGACAACTTAATTTTGATTGAAATATTTAGATTCATTAACCTATTGATTATGAGGACATTCGGGGTTTTGGGGTTTTGGGGTTTTGGGGTTTTGGGG